AAGCCCAGGCCCAGACTGCTTCCTAGGGAATTTTACCGAATATTCAAAGATGAACTAATACCCATTCTCCACAAACTATTTCAAAAAACTCAAGAAGAAGGAAGACTTCCAAAATCGCTTTATGAAGCTAGCACAATTCTAATTCCAAAACCAAAAAATGACAATACAACAAGGAAAACAACAGACCAATATCCCTGATGAAAATAGATGCCAAAATCCTGAACAAAACACTAGCAAATCGAATCTAGCAATACATCAAAAAATTATTCACCATGATCAACTGGTATTCATCCCAGGGATGCAAGGCTGGTACAATATTCAACAATCAATAAATGTGATACACTACATAACCAAAAAGAACGATAAAAATCATATGATCATATCAATAGATGCTGAAAAGCATTCAACAAAATCCAGCACCAATTTCTGAAAAAAACCTCAGCAATCTTGGAATAGAGGGATCATATCCAGACATAATAAAGGCCATATAGGAAAGACCTGTAACCAACATCATACTCAATGGGCAAAAATTAAAAGCATTTTCTTTAAGAACAGGAACAAGACAAGGATGCTCACTTTCACAACTCTTATTTAACATAGTACTGGAAGTCTTAGCCACAGCAATCAGATAGGAAGAAAAATAAAGGGATCCAAAATGGAAAGGAAGAAATGAAACTGCTATTATTCGCAGATGACACAATACTATATGCAGAAAACCTCAAAGACTCCATCAAAAATTTACTACAATTAATACATGAATTTGGCAGAGTAGCCGGATACTAAATTAATATCAAGATATTGATGGCATTTTTATACACCAATGATGAACTCACAGAAAGAGAAACTAAAAAAATCCCATTTACTATCATGGCAAAAAAAATTAAGTTACCTAGGAATAAACTTAACCAAAAAATTAAAGGACCTATTCATAGAAAACTACAGGTCATTGAAAAAAGAAATAGAGGAAGATATAAAAAAGTGGAAGCACATACTTTGTTCATGGATTGGAAGAATTAAAATCATTGAAATGTCCATATTACCCAAAGCAATCTATAGATTCAATGCAATCCCCATCAAAATACCAACAACATTCTTCACAGAATTAGAACAAATATTTCAAGAGTTTGTATGGAACCAAAAAGGCCTTGAATAGCCACAGCAATCTTGAAACACAAGAACAAAGTTGAAGGGATCACATTACCAAATTTCAGGTTATACTACAAAGACACTGTAATCAAAACAGCCTGGTACTGGCACAAGAACTGGCATATAGACCAGTGGAACAGAACAAAGATCCCAGAAATGGACCCAAGGCAATACGTTCAATTAATATTTGACAAAGGTGGCAAAAGCATAAAGTGAAGTAAAGGCAGCCATTCTAATAAATGGTGTTGGGAAAATTAGACAGCTACATGCAAAAAAATAAAACTAGACCATCAACTTACACCATACACAAGAATAAACTCAAAATGGATGAAAGACTTAAATGTGACTCATGAATTTATCAAAATCCTAGAAGAAAATGTAAGCAATAATATTTCAGACATCATGTGCAGCAGAATTTTCACTGATACATCACCTAAGGCAACAGAAAAAAAGAAGAAAATGAACACATGGGACTACATCAAACTCAAAAGCTTGTGCACAGCGAAGGATACAATCATCAAAATGGAAAGACAACCTACTGTATGGGAAAACATAGTTGCCAATGATATATCAGATAAGGGGTTAATTTCCAATATATATAAAGTGCTCATACAACTCACCAAAAGGAAGACAAAGAACCCAATTAAGAATGGGCAGAGGAACTGAATAGACACTTCTCCAAACAGGACATACAAATGGCTAAGAGACATATGAAGAATTGATCAACATCACTAATCATCAGAGAGATGCCAATTAAAACAACAATGAGGTATCACCTCACACCTGTCAGAATGGCCGCCATCAACAAATCATCAAACAAGTGTTGGCAAGGGTGTGGAGAAAAGGGGATTCTAGTACACTGCTTGTGAGAATGCAGACTGGTGCAGCTACTATGAAAAACACTATGGTGTTACTTCCAAAAATTTAAAAGTGAACTGCCATTTGACCCAGTGATCCCATTTCTAGGAATATACCCTAAGAAACCTGAAACACCAATCAGAAAAATATGTGTACCACTATCTTTGTAGCAGCACTATTTACAATAGCTAAGATCTTGATACAGCCAAAATGCCCATCAGCTGATGAATGGAAGAAAAAATCAGTGGTACATATACACAACGGAATACTATGGAGCTGTAAGAAAGAAAGATATCTTATCATTTGAGATGACATGGAGGGACCTGGAAAGTATTGTTCTAAGTGAAACAAGCCAAATAGAGAAAGACAAGTATCATATTATCTCACTTATTTGTGGTATATATTGAACTTAACAGTCTGAGGAATGGGTTGTCCCAGAGGTGTGGAAGAGGAGTACAGAGGCGTGGGTGGTTGGGGAGAGATAAACCACAGAACTTATATGCATGTATGCATGAACAATGGATATGGACAACAAAGCTGGGGACAGGGCAGGGAGGGACGGGGAGGGGGAATCAGTGGGGGGGGAAGGAGAAACATCTGTAACAAAAGTAAATAAATAACTTTTAAAAGAATAAAATAAATAAACTGTGTTAAGGAATTGTGTTCATAAGGAAAAAGAAAACATATTTACCTTTGAGAAGCAATGGAAAATTAGAGAATATCCAGGATCCTGTGGGTGAATGAGTACTGCACCCTTTATTAAGAAGTAAAAAATATGATGGGGTCTGGAAAATACAGATTAATAAATATGAGTGAAATCTGTGGCAAGATTTTAGAATAAATTATTCAACACATAGTTAAGTGTAGCAGTATTACATAGCAGTTAAGAATGTGGATTCTGTAAACTGCTTTGGTTTTATTCCCTGCTCTGCCATACACTAGCTGTGCAAATCTGGTATGCTACTTATTCTTTCAGTGTTCCAGTTTTCTCATAGCAAATATAATTGCATGTGATGGGAAGGAGTCCTTCTCATTGTAGAATCAAAGTAGATGTTGTTGTTTTATTTCCATACTTTGTCCTTTTATTATTTCTTTTTTTGTAATTTTATTTTTTTAATTTTTACACTATTACAGATGTCCCCATACCTGCCCTGCCCACTTTGCCCACTTTCACTCCTGTTTTTCAATTGAATATGTAAAATGTAATTTTGATCTGTTCAGTCAAAAACATAGACTACTAAAGAACTGGTATAAAAGTTCATATCTATTGTGTATATGTACCACAGCTTTTTTATCCACTCATCTATTGATGGACACTTGGGCTGTTTCCAGATCTTAGCAATTGTAATTAGTGCTGCTATGAACATTGGGGTACATATATTCTTTCTGGTTAATGTTTCATGATTCTTAGGGGATATTCCTAGAAGTAGAATCACTGGGTCAAATGGTAGTTCCATTTTTAACATTTTAAAGAAACGCCATATTGTTTTCCATAGTGGCTGCACCAGTCTGCATCCCCACCAGCAGTGTACTAGAGTCCCCTTTTCTCCACACCCTCACCAGCACCTGTTGTTTGATGATTTGTGGATGGTTCAAGACTAAACTGATCCTACTGGCCAGAGAGGTCTTTATCTTTCACATATTAAATAACCATGAAGTTATTTTTCCAAATGAAAGCAGTGCTTTTCTAAGAAATCATCTGATTAGCTTTTAAAATGTAATTTTCTTTATTCTCCATTATATAATTACACAACAAATGGAGGAAATGCAACATGATGTGTGCATAGTATAGGATGAACAATAAAACTGAGCCAGACTTCAGACAAAACTGATAAGACAATCTTGAAGTGATCATTGAAGACTATGTAGGGCTTTTTTGAGTAGAGTGGAGAAGTGGCTTCCCAAGTAGTTTCACCTTTTATATTGTGTTTTCCTCGTGAAAATTGATCAAAGTTTCCAGAGAGCTATTTTTCTTTCTGTTTCCTTCTGTTCATGTTGTGTGTGAAGTATGTGTTTAAAACATATTTGATTGACTTAAGGAAAGGAAATAAAATGTGAGGAAATTAAAAATCAAAACACGATCTGTAGTGTAGCAATTTTACCCCTGATTGTGAGAGCAAAGTCTCAAAGCAAAGCTGTTCTAGCACAAACCATCTTAATTTCAGTTCTTTAGGGGGAAGAAATATTTTTAGTTTGGATGGAGATGTGCTCTCAAATACACATGCAGATATAACAACCCTTTAAATAACAACACTTTGAATAATTGAAGTTGATTCTAGATTGTTAACTTGAATAATACGGAATCATTACTTTAGATTCAAGCTAAAGCCATGGTTCTGCAATTCATGTGAAAACCTTAAAGGGTACTCTGAAAATTTGGGGAGTATCATAGATTTTTAGGGGTTGTATGAATTCCAGTATTGGTAACCTGAAACTTCTCCTACCAGCCTCTATTCCAACAGGATAAAGATACCCAAAATAATGATTCTGCTTCTTGCACATAAGAGATAACTATTGATTTATTCTGGCTTTGATATTTAAATACTTAGAACAAAAGTAAACTCTAACTGAATCACAATATTATAAAAATAAAGTCTAGATACTACATGGAAATCCCTAATAAAGAAGCTTTGTATAATGTAGATTGTATGTGAGTTTATGGCATATGGGTTCACTCTGCACACAGATGGACTCGCTGAAAGGTTAGATAAGGATATTCTGCAAACAGATGTCCTTACAGCACTGTTATTAGTTCCAAGAATAAATAAGGATGTGTCCTGCAAACAGGCTCGTTCCGTGTCCTTGCTTGCAAACATGAAGGACCGCATGTTCTTGAGAACGCGCTGACATTTAAGAATTGGTAAGAGTTCTGGGAAACATTGTTGAGAGGAAATGCTGACAATAGGGCCCCTTGAGAGATTCGGGACCACGGCCAGAAGAACTTCTCTATAAAAATAAATCACTGCAGGACTTTGGGGCTGCAGTCTTGTCTGTCTTTGTGTGTGTTTGTGTCTTTTGTTCATTTCGCAGACCCTCACGGCAATAAGTGGCACCCGAACAGGGACCTGAGGGAAAATCCCCAGCGGTTAAAAGAAAGGACAGTGAAACCGAAAGGGTAAGTACCCCGGAATGAAATTTAAAACAGGGGAGCTTTTGGGATAAAAATGGGGAATTCTCTGTCCATGGAACAGAAGTATTTAAAGCTCTTCAAGGGTTTGTTACACTCCACTGGGGTAGAAGCAACTGACAAACGCTTTAAGAAATTGTTTGAGCATATAAATAAAAAATGTTACTGGTTTGCTAGCCAGCATAAAGTACAACTTAATTTGAAAGAATGGAAGCAGGTAGTGCAAACTTTGTGAAAGTGTCATCAACAAGGACAGACTATGGATTTAAAGTTATAGACCCATTGTAGTGCTATTACTCAGGTGTTTCAATTACTGGAGTCCTCTAGTGAGAAAGGTTCTGTTCCATCTCCAGAAGGGGAAAGAGTTTATGAGAAAATTCCTGCCTCCTCCTCCGACCCCGATCCCATAGAGGAGAGCAGCTCTGAAAGCTCCTCAGAATGAGAAGGGGAGTATGAAGTAAGACAGAAGAGTTGATTCACCTTCTGAAAAAATTGCTAAAAGGTCAAGAAAACATATTCCCATCTTTGCAATCCTTGGCTCCACCTTTGGCAGCATATCCTGCTGCTTTAATTCCTCCTCCACCTCCTCCTCCCTTACTGGGAGCAGCAACAGGCTCTGGGATAGGACTCCCAAAATTTTGTTTTTTTTTTAATTTTCTGGCCCCCCGGATGATTTACCAATACCCCCGGGATGGCATGAGGAAGTTCTGCCCATAGTGTTTCCCATTCAGAGACAGAGGATTATGCCAAACACTCAATTTCCTCAAGGTGGTGTCAATGTTCAATACAGCATGTTGCAGTATAAAATGTTAAAAGAGCTAAAATCTGCTGTTTCCCAATATGGACCCCAGTCACCCTTTGTGGCTGGATTTTTGGACTCTTATGCTTCAGGGACTCTTCTCATACCTGTATATTGGGAGACATTGGAAAGACTGTGTTAGAAGGCTCTCAATGGTTGCAGTTGAGAAGTTGGTAGTTAGAGGAAGCACACATTCAGGCACGGCTAAATGAAAGTCTCAATCCCCCCGGACCAACTTATGATGAATTAACTGGACAGGGAGCTTATTTTTCTATTGCGCAACAAGCAGGCCTTAATGATGCCTCATTAATACAAGTCAAAAATTTATTTATAAAGGCGTGGCAAAAAATTGAATCTACTGGTCAAACTGCTACCTCCTTTGTAAGAACTATGCAGGGTCCCACAGAACCATACACTGACTTTTTGTCGCAGTTAAAAAATGCTGTAATGAGAGGAATCGCTCAAGGAGAAGCTGTTCAAATAGTTTTGCAGTCTCTTGCTTTTGAGAATGCAAATTCAGAATGTAGGCAGATAATAAGTCCCTTAAAGGGGCAAGGTGCCTCCTTAGGTGATTACATATGGGCCTGTGCAGGGGTAGGCAGCCCAGAGCATCATACCAATGTTTTTGCTACTACTTTAGCTTCGGCCCTTAATAAAAAGGGAACATGTTACAACTGTGGGAAACCTGGACATTTTAGAAAGGATTGCAAAAAAGAAAAAAAGGCGGGGGTGAAAGGTATTAGGAAAGAACCTCTGGGCCTCTGTCCTAATTTTAAGAAGGGCCGTCATTGGGCCAATGAATGTTTCTCTAAAAAGGATAAAGATGGGAATTGGATCAGCCCTGCTGCTCCCAAAAATACCCCACAGTCGGGGAATGCACAGAGGGGCCCACAACCCTGGGGCCTCCAGCTGAATACAGGGTTTCAGCAGTTCCCTGTCAGCAATGGCCTTCAACATCAGAGCATGTATGTATTCAGGTCAAGGATTTGAGAGCAGCCACAAAAGGCAGTGCTGCGGCTGACTTACCCATAAGCCAAACTTATATTCCCTCCCCGTCTGGTGGAGTTTATAAATTGTCTACTGGGGTTTTTGGACCTCTTCCCACCGGCACATTTGGTTTACTATTAGGAAGAAGTAGTTCCACACTCTGAGGCCTCCAGGTCCATCCAGGAGTTATTGACTCAGATTACAAAGGGGAGAAAAAAATTATGACTCAGGTTTCACAAACCCTGAACTTAGCCATGGGAGAACACATCACTCAGCTGCTTCTTTTACCTTATCATTCTTTAAAGTTCAAAATATGAACCAACAAGGTGGTTTTGGGAGTACAGGTAAACAAGTTTTTTTGGGAAACATTAATCAGTGACTCTCACACATCTCTAAAGCTAACTATTCAGGACAGTGTATTTGGGGGCCTCGTGGACACAGGTGTTGATATTTCTATTATTGCTCTCAAGTTCTGGCCACCCGCATGGCCTTATCAAACAGTTTCTGTTACCTTGTCTGGGCTAGGATCCACTAATCAGGTATTTCAAAGTACATATAAATTATTGTGTTATGGCCCTGATGGACAAACTGCTCAGGTTCAATTTTACATTGTAGACGTCCCTATAAACATCTGTGGCTGAGACACACTTACTACAACAATTTAGGGCATTTTTACAGATACCACATTTGCCTCAATCAGTAAAAATCATGATGCTTAATATGAATTTTAATCCTATGCCTTTGGAAAACTAATAGCTACTGTTTCACAACCTCAAGCTCTACCTCTTAAATGGTTAACAGAAGAACCTAAATGGGTGGAGCAGTGGCCTTTGACAAAGGAGAAGTTCAAGGCTTTGAAACTGTTAGTCAAACAGCAACTAGAGGATAAACATATAGAGCCTACTACATCCCCATGGAACTCTCCTGTTTTTGTTATTAAGAAAAAGAGTGGCAAATGGAGATTCTTAAAATATTTAAGAGAAGTTAATAAATGTATAGAACCTATGGGGCCTCTTCAGCCTGGTCTTCCATTACCATTCATGATTCCTGAGTCCTATAAAATTTTAGTCATTGATTTGAAAGATTGTTTTTATATGATTTATTTTCAAGAGCTAGACAAAGCTAAGTTTGCCTTTACCATTCCTGAATATAATAATGGCAGACCTACTGATCGTTATCAATGGAGGGTTTTGCCCCAAGGAATGATTAACAGTCCCACTTTATGTCAAGAATTCATGGACAGAGCTTTACAGCCCCTGCGAGAAAAATATCCCCAACTTATTCTGTATCATTACATGGATGATATCTTGCTAGCAGTACCTTCTTTGGTTGAAAGAAATTTGTACTATGAGGAACTTAAAGAAAAATTACAACAGTTTAACTTATGCATAACCTCCTTTTAATTATTTGGGTTATACTCTCGGGGAGCAACAGATAAAACCACAAAAGATCACTATCAGAACAGATCAATTAACTACTTTAAATGGTTTTCAAAAATTACTAGGAGACATTAACTGGCTGAGGCCTGCTTTAGGAATTCTTACTAGTGCTTTGCAAAATCTCTTTGCGACATTAGAAGGAGATGCTGCCCTTGACAGTCCACAAATTTTGACTCCAAAAGCTCTCCAAGAGCTAGAGTTTATAGAACAAAGAATTTCTGAAGCACAGTTAGACTTTTATGACTCTACTAAGCCAGTGTACATTTATATCTTTCATATCTCATTCTCCCACCGCTTGCTTAGGGCAAGATGTCAAAATTTTAGAGTGGTTATTTTTACCTAACAAATTCAATAAAAAATTAACTACCTACCTAGACAAAATTGCTTATCTTATCTACAAAGGCTGAAGGCATTTATGTCATCTGGCTGGGTTGGAGCCAAATTCTGTAATCACGCACCTCCAACACAAACAGATTCAAAGAGCAATAGAAAACAATGAAAACAGGCAATTAGCCCTAGCGGGATATCTGGGTCAATTTGACAATCATTATCCAGTCCATGAAGCTATTTAGTTTTCTTAAGGAACATGCCATTTTACCCTGCAATCCGATTTCTGATATTCCTGTAGAAGGGCCTACAATTTTTACAGATGCCACCAGCAAAGGCTATGCTGGCTATTGGACTAAGAATCAAACAAATGTTCAAAAATTGCTGTGGGATTCAGTGCCAGAGTCAGAATTATGGGCTATTTGTTTGGTTTTAGAAGACTATGCCCAGATACCTGTTAATATTGTTTCTGACTCTTAGTATGCAGTAATGACCGTGCAATTAATTTCACAAGTGTCTCTTCCTTTGGTGCCCTCTTCCTCCTTAGAAAAGTTATTTTTTATATTGTTCCAATGTATTACCCAAAGACAGATGCCGATATTTATTACTCATATCTGATCTCATTCAGACTTGCCAGGTCCCCTAAGCCAGGGAAATCAACATATTGATAAGTTACTTATCGGTTCTGTTCACCAGGCCATTGAAGAGCACGCTTTGCATCACACCAATGCCCCAGGGCACAGAAAAAGATATAATTTAACCTATAAACAAGCAAAACAAATCCTTTGCAACTGTGAAGGATTTGTGCTCCTCACAATTTATGTGCTCTACCCCCGGAGTGAATCTTCAGGGTCGAGACGTTAATCAAATTTGGCAAATGGACGTTGTCCAATATACACCCTTTGGGAAATTAAAATACATCCATCATACCATTGACACTTACTCACATTTCCATTGGGTGTCTGCTATGTCTAATGAAAAAACTGACTCTGTTATTTCTTATTTATTAATCTGCTTCACAATCATGGGGAAATCAAAGCACATCAAAACAGATAATGGCCCAGCTTATTGTTCTAAAAAATGTGCTGACTTTTTAAACCAATACAAAATTTCACATAGTACAGGTATTCCTTTTAATAGTCAAAGACAAGCCATCATCAAATGTGCAAATCGCTCTAAAATATTATTTACAAAAACAAAAAGGGGGGAATACGAGGTATGAGACCTAAAGATATTCTCTATAAAGTATTATATACTCTCAATTTTTTTAAATTATTGGGATCAAATAGGCATGACTGTGGCAGAAAAACATTTTGCAGAGGAACCAACAATGCTCACAGATAAAGGCTTGGCTCGCCCTATCTGGAATAAGACTCTAGAGGAAGATTGGAAAGAAGGACAACTGCTGCATTTGGGGAGAGGATTTGCTTATGTTTCCACAGGAAAAGCATGTGAGTGGTTACCCACCTGCTGGCTGAAGTGGAGACGATGAGCAACATTTCACCTGTGGATGACATGCTGTTCCGCGCCTTCTCCCAGATGAGTACATCCCGCACCTTCACTTTTGGCACTCAACAAGCCCATCCCCCTACCTGGGGTCAATTGAAGAAATTGACCCAAGAAGCAGAAAATGCACTTTGCCGTCTGAACCAGCCACTAAATTCAGCTAATCTTTTGCTGGCCATGATGGCAGTTGTAACCTGCCAGGTAAGTATAGCTTCACCTACTCCTTACTCGTATTGGGCCTATATTCCTTATCCTCCTCTATTACTAGGAGTTGCTTGGGGAGAAGCTGAAATTCCTATCTGCACTAACACCTTCATCTTTCCCCTCCCTTCCTGTGGGGGATAGGCTACTGATCCTTCCATCTTGCATACAGCTAATGTTACCAATCTTACTATCACAGTAGAAGGATACCCTATATGCATTGGGCACAATAAGTTTTGCTTGAAACCTTCACATGAAGCATGGGGCATGCGTTACAATCATTCTACCTTTGCCTCTTCTATTGTTATGCTATCAGTCAAAGGATTTAAAGTAAATCACAGCCAAGGTGTTGCCTCCGATATAGAAAGCTATCTGCCTCTGTGCCCATTGCCTCAATTGGAACTGGGGTTTCCCCGGCTAGAATGGACTGCTTGCTGAGGTCACAATCCCTCTGTCCTATTAAATGATATCAAGTTGGGAATAGTCATAACCGATTGGAGTCCCCACAGGCAATGTCAGAAAACATTTTCTAAACATAATTTGCAATATCACAAGTTTAATCAAACTCTCATGGGGAATGGAAATGAGACTATCAAATGGCAAGAGAGTGTTCTCACTCCCCCTATGCCTCATCTCCAGGGGCACCCTAAAAGCCAGGGCCACATTTAGAAACTCTTAGCTGTAGGAGAGCCTATTTATACATGGGTAGGAAATATGTCCCTAAATATCTCAGATAATACTGGCCTTCTTCACATTACTCTACATACCAATGGCTCTTATTGGGGCCAAGCATATGTGCCCTATCTCTATCTCTTGGTTGCAGGAGAATGGACATGAAACAACAATAATAGAGAAATTCACTGTCAAAATTGTCATTTTTTGCAATGTGTTAATTTTTCATGGTGGGCTAGTTTTAATTGGACATGGGACAGTCTATTGCTCACCAAAACTAGAAAAGAACTGTAGTTACCTGTCAATCTAACAAGACCTTGGAGTGAATCAGCTAGACTTACCGCTCTCTACCATGCTGTGGACACTATCTTGAAGCATTTGTGTCAAGCCATTGGACTGAGCATTGCTGCCATTCTTGGACTTGTGGCCATGACTGCCACTGCTACAATTGCTAGAGTTGCTCTGCATCAAGGTGTTCAGACTGCAAACTTTGTCCAGAATTGGCACCGAGATTCTCACCTGTTGTGGCAACAACAAGAATTGGACTCTCACATAGCAATGGGTATTCAAAACTTAAAACAAACTGTCAAATGGTTGGGGGGATCAGATTTTTGTACTATCCACAAAATCTATGTTAAAATGTGATTAGAACTCCTCTCTTATTTGTATCACCCATTTACCTTAATGTATTAGAGGGTTGGGACAAGATTAAGAAAACATTGATAGGTCACGCTAACTAACTAATGAAATTCTAGTTCTAGAAAAATAAATTGAAAATACTTATAGCAACAACTTACCATCCCTCACAGGAGATGATATTTTAGAAAGCTTAGCTGGTAGAATAGCAAATTTAAATCCTTTTGGTCAGATTAAGACCCTTGTAGGCACTACATTAAGTAATACTACTGTTTTACTCATTATTTTACTTATTGCTTTTCTAGTCTTCCTCCGATGGTCCCGACAACAAGCCGTAGCTAGTGACAATCAGCAAATAATGTCAGCTCTGCAGCATGTAACCTCTCAAATAAAATTAAAAAAAGGGGGAAATGTAGATTGTATGTGAGTTTATGGCATATGGGTTCACTCTGCACACAGATGGACTCGCTGAAAGGTTAGATAAGAATACTCTGCAAACAGATGTCCTTACAGCACTGTTATTAGTTCCAAGAATAAATAAGGATGTGTCCTGCAAACAGGCTCGTTCCATGTCCTTGCTTGCAAACAGAAAGGACCGCATGTTCTTGAGAATGGGCTGACATTTAAGAATTGGGTAAGAGTTCTGGGAAACATTGTTGAGAGGAAATGCTGACAATAGGGCCCCTTGAGAGATTCGGGACCACGGCCAGAAGAACTTCTCTATAAAAATAAATCACTGCAGGACTTTGGGGCTGCACTCTTGTCTGTCTTTGTGTGTGTTTGTGTCTTTTGTTCATTTCGCAGACCCTCACGGCAACAATATAATAACCCCTTTTACCTGCTATGTCTGATCCAAACGCAGCTCAGGAGGCAATTTGGAGCAATGTTACTTATTTTTATTCCATTCATGACATATTAGAGATACAAACACCCTCAGCCTCCTGTATATTAGACTTTTAAACCTGTACTTGTTATAATAAAGTTACCTCAGATGTTAATTTCACCAACAAATAGTTAAAATATATGAAACTAGATAAAGCAACCATGATAAAAGAAAGTCAATAATACACTAATATAAAAATATCTTTTGCTGTGCCTTTCAGGCTTATGATATTGGATTTTTACTTCGTAGAAGATGAAAAAAAATAATGAATAACTGGCCACTCTGCCTTTTCCATTCTGATTTCTTATTCCAGAAGGATGAATTCTTGTAGGTGAGGAAGGTCTAATTTAGTAGGTGTATGGGAATGATAGGTAAAGTATGTTTGATCATACATATGAAGAAACAGTGATGACTAAAAAATTTAGATTCTGAATCTCTACTGGTGAGGAACGTATGTGGGCCCCTAAAATTATAATCTGCCCAGGCAGAAAATGAGGAGATTAATCATTGTGGTTTTCTTTTTTTCTATTTATTTTATTTTGTGTTTATTATTGTACATTGCAGTATAGAACATAAATTGGGGTGTTAGACAATACATAGGAGATACAAGTTTTGGGATTAATAAAGTTTCACAGCCCAGCCAGTGTGGCTCAGTGGTGGAGCATCAACCCATGTACCAAGAGGTTGCCAGTTGGATTCCTGGTCAGAGCACATGCTCGGGTTGTTGGCCAAATCCCCAGTGAGGGAGAGGCATGCAGTAGGTGGCCAATTGATGTTCTCTCTCATCAATGTTTCTCTCTCTCCCTCTGCCTTTCTCTCTAAAAACAAACACACAAAATCACACAATAAAGAAATTTTTTTTTACAAAGTAAAAAGCATCATATAAAAGAAATTAAAAGAAACATACGTGACTAAATCCCACAAAATGCAAGTAAACATAAATTTAGAACAGATATCCAAAGATTTAGAATATCTAAACATATCAAATGGCATAGGAGAAATTAAACTGTAAAATAACAAATATCCCTAAACAATCACAATACATAAGGCTCTGGAACAATAATTTCTCTTTTTTTTTTGTTTTAAATTTATTGGGGTGGCATTGGTTAATAAGATTACATAGGCTTCAAGTATACATTTATATGATACATGGTCTGTATATTGCATTGTGTGCCTACTACCCAAAGTCAAATCTTCTTCCATCACCATATATTTGACCTCATTTACATCTTTCTACTACCCGCACACCCTTCCCTCTGGTAGCTACCTTAATCTTGTCTGTCTGTGTAGTCATGCTTTTTTTTTTTTTTTTTTTTACTGATGAGAGAGGAAGGGAGAGGGAGAGAGAGATAGAAACATTGAAAAGACAGAACATTGATTGACCACCTCCTGCGTGGTCCTCACTGGGGATTTGGGCCACAACTTGAGCATGTTCCCTGATGAGGAATCAAATTGGTAACCTCTTGGTGCATGGGTCAATACTCAACCACTGAGCCACACTGGCTGAGCTTCATGTTTTTGTTTGGTTATTTTCTTGTTTGGTTACTTGTTACTTTCAGTTTTATATCCTTACATATGAGTAAAATCATATGGTTCTTAGCTTTTTCTGACTGACTTATTTTGCATAGCATAATATTCTCAAGGTCCATCCATGCTGTCACAAATGGTAGTATTTCATCTTTTCTTATGGCTGACTAATATTCCTTAGTACATATGTAGCATATCTACTTCTTCCAATCATCTATCAAAACACTTTGTCCCCATGTCTTCACCACCATGAATAGTGCTGCAATAAATACAAGGGTGCACATGTCTTTGTGAACAAATGTTTTTGAGTTTTTCAGGTAGATACCCAGAACGGGGATTGCTGGGTCATATGGTAACTTTATTCTTTTGTTGTTGTTTTTAATTCTCACCTGAGGATATTTTTCCATTTAATTTTAGGGAAAGTGGAAGGGAGTAAGGGAGGGAGAGAGAACAAGAGAGACATCAATGTGAGAGAGACACATCGATTGATTGCTTCCCACAAGACCCCAACCAGTGCAAAGAATGGAACCTGCAGGTCAGGTACAAGCCCTTCCATCCAACACACTTTGTCTGAGGGCTGACACTTTAAACACTGAGCCAAACTGGCCAGGGCAGTAATTTATTCTTATCTTTTTGAGGTACCTCCATACTGTTTTTGTATTTTTAATCCTCACCCTAGGATATTTTTTCTATCTATCTTCAGATAGAGTGGAAGGGAGAGAAAGGGAAAGAGAGCAAAACATCAACTTGAGAGGGACACATTGACTGGTTGCCTCCCGCACAACCCCTACCAGTGCTGGGGATGAACCACAACCTAGGTACCTGCCCATGGTCAGAATTGAATCTGCAACTCATTGGTCCCTGGGCCGACACTATATACCACTGAGCCAAACCAGCCAGGGCCCTCCATACTGGTTTTTTTTTTTTTTTTATAGGCTGTTCTAGTTTACATTCCCAGCAGCAATAAATGAGGATTTCTTTTTGTCCACAATGTCCCAACATTTGTTATTCCTTGCCTTGTTGATTATAGTCATCATAGTTTTGATTTAAATTTTTCTAATACCTAGTCAAGTTGAACATCTTTTCCTATATCTGTTGGCCACTTGTATGTCTTAATTTTTTTTATTTAAATTGAGATTTTATTTAACATGAAAAAATAATCATTATGCCCTTGATAAAAGAACTTGAATTTAAAATTTACAAGAATATATGAACATTTATATGATTGTACATATAAACAAATGTGAGAAAGTGATCACATAAGCAATATATTTGCAAATAGTGACACATCACCATCATTTTAAAATTTTTAAAATTTATTTTTGTTACTGATATTTCTCTTTTTTTTTTCTCCAGACACCCTCCTCACCATTCTTCCCACCCCATTACAAGCTTTGTTGTCCATGTCCATGTCGGTTATGCGTATGCGCATATAAGTTCCGTGGTTTATCTATTCCCTCCTCCACCACCCCCTCTTCAGAGGGTTGTCAGTCTATACCTTACTTCCATGTGTCTGGGTCAACCCTGTTCCTCAGACTGTTATGTTTATAATAGTCCACAAATAAGTAAGATCATATGATATTTGAATTTCTCTGCTTGGCTTGATTCACTGAGAATAATAATTCCCAAGTCCATCCATGTCGTCTCAAAGGTTAAGAGATCTTTCTTTCTTACAGCTGCATAGTACTCCATTGTGTATATGTACCACAACTCTTTTTTAATTAATTAATTAATTTATTTTTGTTACAGATGTTTCTCCTTTTTCCCCCACTGATTCCTTTCTCCCCCTCCCTCCCTGCCCTGTCCCCAGCTTTCTTGTCCATGTCCATTGTTCATGCACACATGCATATAAGTTCTGTGGTTTATCTCTCCCCCACAACCCCCTCTTCTGGGGATTGTCAGTCTGTACACCACTTCCACATCTCTGGAACTACCCCATTCCTCAGACTGTTATGTTCATTATTTTCCAAAAATAAGTGAGATCATATGATACTTGTTTTTCTCTGTTTGGCTTGTTTCACTTAGGATGATACTTTCTAGGTCCCTCCATGTTGTCTCAAAGGATAAGAGATTTTTCTTTCTTACAGCTGCGTAGTACTCCATAGTGTATATGTACCACAGCTTTTTTATCCTTTCGTCTACTGATGGACACTTGGACTGTTTCCAGATCTTAGCGATTGTAAATAGTGCTGCTACAAACATGAGGGTACACATATTCTTTCTGATTGGTGTTTCAGGCTTCTTAGGGTATATTCCTAGAAGTGGGAACACTGGGTTAAACGGAAGTTCAATTTTTAATTTTTTGAGGTAACACCATATTGTTTTCTATAGTGGCTGCACCAGTCTGCATTCCCACCAGCAGTGTACTAGAGTTCCCTTTTCTCAACAACCTTGCCAACACTTGTTGTTTGATAATTTATTGATGGTGGCCATTTTGACAGGTATGAGGTGATACCTCATTGTTGTTTTAATTTGCACCTCTCTGAATATTAGTGCTGTTAAGTATTTCTTCATAAGTCTCTTGGCCATATGTATGTCCTATTTGGAAATGTGTCTATTTAGCTCCTTTGCCCATTTATTAATTGAGTTCTATGTCTTCCTTTTGTTGAGTTGTATGAGTACTCTATGTATTTTGGAAATTAACCCCTTATCTGATATCATTGGCAATTATGCTCTCCCATACAGTGGGTTGCCTTTCCATTTTAAAGATTGTACCATTTGCTGTGCAGAACCTTTTGAGTGTGATTATTTTCTCCTTTGTTTCTGTTGCCTTAGGTGATGTATCAGTGAAAATTCTCCTGTGAATGATGACTGAAATTTTGTTGCCTACAGTTTCTTCTAGGATTTTTATGGATTCATGAGTCACATTTAAGTCTTTTATCCATTTTGAGTTTATTCTTGTATATGGTGTAAGTTGATGATCTAGTTTCATTTTTTTTTTTTTTTTTGCATGTAGGTGTCCAGTTTTCCCAACATCATTTTTTAAAGAGGCTACTTTTACTTCAATGTATAGTCTTGCCTC